TCCCCCTTTCCCAATGCAGTTATTGAAGTTGAAATTATTAGTGGCCTGGATGATTTTTTCATGTAGGATCTCTTCCTCATGGCCACATACTACAAAACCGTGTGGACTTTGTCGCTCTCCTAAACAGGAAATTCTTTCTCTACGTTTCCGGTTGGGAAAGTATAAACACCCAACCATGATAGGTAGTAGAAGTAGAATGCCCAGGAGGGGAACAAGAATCAAAATGACAATTTTGTTGCTCTTTCTCTTAGCTACCTTGCTGCTGCTTGTAAGAAGTGTACAAGGCTTTAGGCCACTGGCATTTCCACAGAGACCGCTATTATTCATAAAAGCTTCAAATGGAGCTTCATTGAAGCCTTTGATTTTGGGGATAGGGCCCTCTAGTTCATTGTAGGAGATGTCTACAGCTGTCAAGCTCACCAAATCTACAAAAGCAGTTGGAATCAAACCGGAAAGTTTGTTGTGAGAGAGGTTCATCGTTTCTAACTGTTTCAATTGCCCAATTTGTGATGGTATCTCTCCTGCCAGTAGATTCCCACTGAGATCTAGATCTCCAAGAAAATGTAGGCTGCCTATCTCAGATGGGATGCTCCCTATGAACTTATTATGACTCAAGTTCAACTGTAATAAATTGGAGCACTGTCCCAGTTTTTTTGGGATTGATCCACCAAGATTATTAGAAGCTAAATTAAGGGCACGAAGTTGAGATAGCATTTGGATCTCAAAGGGAATGACACCAAAAAGATAGTTGTTATGAAGAGTAAGGTTGTACAACGCCTTCAACTGCCCCAATTCTTTTGGAACTGTCCCCTTTAGGAGATTTGACGAGAGATCAATCATTTGTAGCCCAGTCGCCTTTCCAAGCTCTGATGGTATCTCACCGGAGATATTATTGTTTGACAATTTTAGGCTCGCCAAGTTGTGAAAACCTCCCCATTTCCACGTAAGCTCACCATACAAATAATTGTGACTTAGGTCCACATAGTTCAAGTTTGGGTAGAGGCCAAAATCTTCAGAAATATTCCCTGTCAATTGGTTCCAGTCAAGCCTAAATCTAAAAAGACTAGTACAGTTTCGCAAGCTTTTAGGGATTGGGCCAGAAAAATGATTGTAGCCAGCTGAAAAATTTACAAGTAACCCACCAAGGCACAAGTCTCGTGGTAAATGGCCAGTGAAGTTGTTTGTAAACAATTGCAAAATCTCCAAATGTGTGAGATTATTCATCTCCGGGGGCAGAGAACCATGGAGATTATTGAAGGACAAGCTCAATCCAACAAGGGATTCGAGTTGTCCTATTTCCCGAGGAACAGATGCAGATAAATTATTTGTGCTCAGATCAAGTCGAGTGAGCATAGTCATGTTCCCAATAGAAGAAGGAATAGAACCAGAAAGTTTATTTTCCCAGAGATAGAGAAGGGATAAATTTCTTAAATTTCCAATAGAAAAAGGAATCCGACCAATTAAATTATTGTATGACAAGTCAAGGTTACTGAGAGACTGCAGTGATCCTATCTCAAGTGGAATATTGCCTGTGAAATGATTGTCACTCAAGTCTAATTGGGTGATTTTGGTCAGGTTACTGATGTGGGATGGAATAGTTCCATAGAGTGAATTGTTCCAGAGAATGAGTGTGAGAAGATTGGGGAAGGATGAGAAGCTGAAACTATGAATTGTACCTCTCAGACCAAAATGTGGAAGGCTGAAATCCGCGACCCTTCCAGAATTGTCACAAGTGATTCCAAGCCACCTGCAAGGGCTGCTACCAACCCAAGAAGACAGGACAGATTGGCTGTGGTTGTCATCAAGACTTGCTTTCCATTTTAGGAGAGCCTCCGATTCTTTATTACCTTCGGCAGCTACATATTTGGCAGCACCAAATGAAGTAGCGGAGGGATTAGGAGGAAAGGCAAAGAAAGAAGGAATTATGCACATTAGGAGGAGGAAAAAAAGGAGAAACATTGAGACTAGTTTCTGCAGTAAGGACATCGTGTATATGTTTTGCTATGGAAGATGAAGATCCTAGGCTCCAATGATAGGTATTTATAGAAAAAAGGAAATGGAATATTTATTGGAATTTTTAATTACAAAATTTCCTATTCATCTTTGTTCTTTATACGTCCACAACTGTGACATCAGTTTCAATGGGGTGGAAGATTTGGTAAATCCTGGGAAAATTCATTTCCAAGTCCTATAATTTCTAACGATGCTTAGTTGCAGGCTCGTTCGTTCAAAACCTTCACTTGTTCATCCTAGTAATTAGGGGTGATCTTTACGCAATTAGGGGTGATCTTTATGCAACTAGTCTTTGTCTTAGAATATTTAAAGACCAATTAATCACCATATACTAGATGGCAACTTATTTTTTCACGAAACGAAGACCTCGACATGATCCTTGCTCTGGAAAGGGTGGCCACAACGTTGTGCTCTTGCAAGGGTATGACAATGTGCTCTGCTCCTATCTTGGCTAGGAATTCTGCACATGAGTTAGCTTTTTTCAACGTGTGATGAATAGTGATATCCCACTCCTTAGTTAAAATTTCTCTAATATCCATAATAATTGCTCCAAGATGATGGTGTTGAGTATCATCATGGGCTAAGATGATGATCATCATTAAAGTAAAATCATAGATTAGTAAGAATATCAATCTATATATATCTTATCATAAACAAGATCTCTAATATCTCCATAATACTTATCTAGATCAAGAGGTTGCCTCCTATACTCTTACCTCTAAAAGGGGTTTTCAAAGCTTGCCATAGTTCCATGATCACTCTTCACGCTATCCCTTTAGATTATCACATATTCTAGTTGATTGGTTAATTCTGTAATCTATTTTTACATGTCTTTTGTCATTAATTTCTAAATATCTTTTTTTCATAGGGAAAAACTCCTTATCCCCTCATCCATGAACATGTCTAATTATATGAACTCTTCAAGCCATTAGCTAAATTGCATTAAAAATATATTTTTTTGTGAATTTTGTATTTTGTACTTTTTAAAATTATATTGAGAAACAAGGTTAAAATCAGGTGATGAAAATAAAAACGAGTATGTTGTCATGGATATAATAATTTAATTTAAATGCAAAGTAAACAACTTCGCAGTAGTTGGATTCAATTAATCAAACTATCATATAATACAAATTAACCTGTTTTTATACTTTGAATAGAATTCCTCTCTCACATAATTATGTTCACACTATCAATTTGTTGTGGTAAACGAAGCAATGATTTATTAATTAGCTGCTTCCATGAAACAATGTATCACTAAAAACAACTCCTAAATGATTTATAAATAAGCTTCACGGGCAACACTTTCAATTTTCATTCCTTCCTGGAAATCTCCTCGCAAGCTGGACTCTAACTTATGATTTTTAAAACCAAATAAGGGACTAAATTAAGAAACCATATGAATATTGAGACTTTACTCTTTTAACTAAGCTCATAAGGTGTGCATATAGTCTAAGCAGCCACATATATTTCGTCTTTCAGTACCTCGTAACCACTGCGAAGGCTCTATTATATTTCGTCTTTCAGTACCTCGTAACCACAGCGAAGGCTCTATTTAATTCCAGGCATACCGGTTTCTGTGTTATTCTATTCCAACTTGAGTTTTAACTATTACTTCATTGTATTGACCGACTGACTGGTGTGGATTTTAAAATTATCAAATAATTATTATATGCTATGGAAATTCCATTTCTTTCACCTGCATTTGAATATAAACAATTGCATTGACCGATAGACGCTTGGATGAGAAAGCAGGACCCTTTTCCAAGAGAAAAACAAGTCCCGACTCGGGTCAATTAACCTATTAAACCGCAAACCAAGTCATGGGCTAAGATGAATTTAATAAATTATTGTTTTAGATTTGTTTTACCTAAATACATGACTAAAATTTAAGAAAAGAAAGTCACCATGAAGGACCTCAAAAAAAAAAAAAAAAAAAAAAAACCCTGCCAATGTTATATAAAAGAATGCTCAATCCTTTTTTTTTTTTAAATCAAACGGGCTTTAATCAAATAATACCCTAAATGTTTTTAGCAATCAAATAATTATTTAAAAAGAAACAGCACAAAATGACCTTATAAGCTTGTTTGGCTGTTTTTCTATCCCTTTTTTTTTCAAGCTGCTATTTAATTATATATTCTGGATTTAAACTTTATCTATATAAAAAATGATCTCTTAAGATTTTCTTTTGTCATCAAATTATGATATAATAAGAAATCTTAACTAGCCTATTTATTTTTGTTGTAGTAGATTCATTTTTTTTTTTAAGTTTGTTTTTTTTGGTCATATTTTGCTTTGGCTATTAGTTTTATAACTTTTTTAATATATTCTCGATGATTATAAAAAAAAACTGCACAAAGGATTAAAAAAAACCTTGACAATTTAATGACAATTTAATAAAAAAAAAGTTATGATCTAATATAAACAATCAATGGTATCTCATAATAATAATCTCAAATTAGTTTTGGGCCAATCTATTTGAATGGATTCACTGAAGTGTAAAATGTAGAGAAACTTAAGGGAAAAAAAAAAAAAAAAGCAAAACGAAGTCAGTCGTGTGAGTCTGCATGCCTTACCCATAATGAAAGAGGCTCGACATGCGCGCACCAGGCCTCAAATCTTTTTTATTCATGCTAGAAGGAGAAAAATATGGTTTTTTAAATATATTTTAGTACCTTATTTGGTTAGTTAATTTTAAAAATCAAAAGTTAGAGTACAACTTATGAGGTGATTTCCAAGAAGGAATTAAGTAATAAGTTAAAGGGTATTGGTAATTTACTATTTTTCCACACTTAATGTACCGTGGATTATAATAGTAATCCATGACGCATTCTTTTTTGAATATTATTTTTTCTATTTTTTTTTCAAATTTTCTTTTTTTTTAAAAAAATATATTTTTTAACTTTCCTCTTTTTTTTTTCATTTATTTTTTACTAAAATTATTATTTTTTATTTTATTTTTTTAATATTGAGCTAATTGAAAATTTTACTTTGTAATTTTTTTCCTTTAAAATACTGTGGATTGCTATGGTTGTTTGTCACATGGTTTTTCTATAATTATTTTTAATTTTTTTAAAATTCTATTTGTTGATTTTATTTTTTAAATATTGACCTGATTAAAAATTTAGTTTTATAATTTTTTTCTTTAAAACATTGTTGATTGCTATAGTGTTTCTCCATATGGTTTTTTTTTGTTGTTTTTGATGATTTTTTTAAAATTATCTTTTATAAGTTTATTTTTTATTATTGAGCTGATTAAAAATTATAATTACAATATATGAGAAAACATTGTAACTTTCCTCCCAAATTAATGTGAATTGGCATAACTTTTTTTCCTACATGATTTTTTTCCAGTTTTTTTTGTTTTTTCTTTTTTTATAATATTTTTTAAAATTATTTTTGTCAATTTTATCTTTTTTAATATTGAGCTAGTTATAATTTAACTTTATAATAAAACTTAATTAAGTGGAAAAAGTATTATAGCTGTCTTCACAAAACACTGTGGATCATTAGAGTGTCTCTTAACATGGTTTTTTTTTCTTATGATTTTTTCAATTATCTTTGTCAATGTTATTTTTTTAATATTGAGCTGGTTGAAAATTACAATTACAAGTCATTACAAATAAGACTAAATCATGTGGGGAAACACTGTAGTTTTCATCATAAAATATTGTGAATTGCTACAATGTTTACAACATGGGTTTTTCCCCCTATTTTTCCTTTTTTTTTCCTAAAATTATCTCTATCAATTTTATTTTTTTAATATTAAGCTTATTGGTAATTTAGCTTTGTCAATTTTTTTTTGAATATTGAGTTGGTTAAGAATTATAATTACGATAAAGTTAAATCATATGGGAAAAACATTGTAGCTTTTCTCACAAAACATTGTGAATTGCTATAGTATTTCTCTAAATTATTTTTTTATGATTTTTTCTAAAATTATCTTTGTCAATTTTATTGGAGAAAGCAATGTAGTTTTCTTCAAAAAATATTATCAATTACTACAACATTTTTCCTTATGGGTTTTTTTACCTTCCAAAATTATCTTTATTGTTTTTTTTTAATATTAAATTGGTAGAGAATTTAGCAGAAAAGCTAAATCATGTGGTAAAAATATTGTATCTTTCCTCACAAAATACTATGGATTGCTACAAATCATTTTGTTCAGTCTCTATGTTTTTGATCACTAACACAACTTTTTTTCTTTTATAAAATATTGGCTCCATGATACCTTTACTTTTTATTACTTATCTAGTGTTAGTTCACAATTATAATACTATCAAGTATATTTATTTTATAAGCTTGTAGCAGCGTGCAGGTATACCATCTCGTGAAACTCTATAGGCCATGGGAGGAGGACAATCCTCAAGGTAAAAATCATTTAGTGATGTGTAGTTTCATGGAAGCATCTTATTAAGAAAACATTATTTTCGTGCACCACAAAAAATAGTGTGGTGTTATATGATAGTTTGATAATTGAATCTAACAACTATAGAGGGTGTAAGAAAATGCTTAAAAAAAAAAATATCAAAGTCAACCCAAGTTAAGCAAACCTTAAAAAAATAAAATAGTAAGATTTTTAACCAAACAAATATTAAATGACAAAATTAAGGGAAAAAACGTTAATAGAAAAAAACAATGCAAAACAAAATAGATAGCAATTAAAAAAATTAGGACCAAATTCCACATAAAAACCCACTGAAATTAAATGTTAAGGGAAATTTTAAATGAAATTAAAAGTTTAGGGATGAAATTGAAAAAAAATCAACTAAGCAAATGATTGAAAAAAAAAAGCAATTAAAAGAATATGATCAAATTAAAAAAAACTTACAAAATCAAATAGCCATGGATGAAATTAAAAATAAAATTCAATTAAAAATAATCAATGTAAATAAATTAAATGCAATTAAGAGAAGAGTGATTGAATCAAAAGAAAAAAGAAATGGAATGGTTGGTATAATTTTTTCATGGTGAGC